TAAGTGGACGTTAATAAGCCTTAATTGGCGTTACAAAATATCCTATAACTTTCTTGCCATTCATCACAGAAAGAAGTTCTTGGTATCATTGGAAAGGTCTTATGAAGCCCTTTCTTCTGGTGCTATTTTTGTAAAAATCCAACAACTTTGAAATTTTTTGTGACATACCTACAAGTCAATAAACTAAAGTCTCAAGTCCTAAGCAAGTCAAAATATAATCATTTTTTTTCTCATTTAATGCCACAACAAACTTATATAGATATATAAACACATTCTATCAATTTTTACTAGGGATGTAACGAAAAACGTAATATTGCGATTAAAAAATACCTCGAAACCGTTGTCGGACTGTTACGATATCAACCACAATATTACGTGGTTATTTTGCTTGTATAAGCTCCGTCTCAAAAATCCATACTGTATTAACGAATGCTCTATTGGCCTTCTGTAACCCACATGACAATAGGTCATTAAATCAGCTATTATTATTACAACAATAATTTTAAAAAATGGAAACAAAAACACATTTACAGTATATTAAAAAAAAACGATTATCTCTTTAAGAAAAAAGACGGTTGTATGCAGATTGTGAAGTGATGTCACGATGTAATGTGGAGAGCGTGGGTTATGTTTTTGCAGAAGCGAGTGAGGCTGCCTGCAGCGAGTGCTAACAGCAGACTGCCACAGGATTTAGAATATGGTAAAAAGAAAACTTAGATTTTACAGCTTATGTGCTGTAAGAAGATTTTTTAAATTAACTCAGAGGAAAAGGAAAATTGAAAAAATGGTTTAAACCACGATAAATAGTTTTTTTCTGCACTACATTGACTCTTCCGAAGATTGAGAAGATTTGGAACGGATATTCCTGCATGTGCTTCGCTGAACAGGGACCCACCGAACGGAGTTCATATCAGGATGGCAAGCTAGACCCATGGAGCAACTGTGAAGGTTGAGTAGAGGGAACTTTGAATTTCTTACAACGTGTGCAGTTAGGATATGATGGACTAAAGTGAACTGTATTAACCTTTGGACATTGTTATGCCTGAATTGAACGGTATTTCAACCCTTGAATATTGTTATTCCTGAATGGTATACGATGTGATTTTGTTTTTTCCTTTTATACGTGTAGGAGGGCAGGCGGTGGTTGATGTGGGGAAACTCCGCGCTCATAGGGTATTTAAAGATGGCGGCTGCCCCAAGCACAGATGCCCATGGTTGGATACTGACTACTTTGTCGCTTTTGCGCAATGGATTGTATTAAGCTGACGTTATTGTCCAAGGTACGCATAAATGAAAACGAGGCGGTGGCCATTTTACCAGGGTGCGAGTGACAACAGCAGCAAGAAAACCCTGAATCTAAGTTTCTTTTGTATACCTTTGGATCATACAAATCAAGTCAAAGAGATCGAAGAGTTGCCGGAAAGGCTACAGAAAACTTGGCTATGATCCATTGATTGAAAGAACTTGAACAACGATACTGTCAAGAAGTGGCTTGTTCTGTTTTCTGAGAATGGGCAGTAAATGCATTAAAAATGCATATTCATTTACTTTTGAGGATTTTGTCATTTGTATTTTGCTGGATGGAAAAAAATCAGATGTAGGCTACTTTGTAACAAAATATACTGAGAGATTGTATTCCGTGTATTTAAAATATTTAAAATACTTAATAAAATGCCATTTTAAGAACATTCATCGCTATAGGCTTATAGACTTTTAAATACAGCCTATCGCCATCCTTGGCATTATTCCAAGGAAAGAAGCTGCTTTGGTGATCGGCACAAATTGCCTATTAGTATATGCAGTAAAATAAGCATATATTGCTGACTGAATGTCAGTATAGGACGATTAGCAAACAGCAGTGCTGTGCTCTAGAACTTGTAAATGAACTTGCTAGCCTCCTAAGGCTAATGGCATTCTAAATTAAGTTAATTTCAACAGAAATGCTCAGGCAGTGGCATCTTGTGGTTTGTCATATATGGAAGCCTTCATTAGCGATAAATCAGGCTAGCTAGTTTTGTTCCTAAGGACAAAGTTAATTTCTATCATCTAAACTGAGGGATATTATTAGCCAACCTTTAACTTTACTATTCCAGAAAAACTTATCTGCTGGTGTGGTACCTTCTGATTGGAAGCAGGCTAATATAACGCCCATATTCAAAAAAGGGGATAGAAGTAATCCAGCAAACTATAGGCCAATCAGTTTAACTTGCATAACTGGAAAAGTAATGGAAGCTACAATCCAAGTGAAAATGGTAGATTACCTGGTTGCAAATAACATTCTGAGAGATAGCCAACATGGATTTAGCAGAGGTAGATCCTGTTTAACTAATCTACTTGAGTTCTTTGAGGAAGCTACAAGAGAAACTGATCACAAAAAGGCCTACGATGTGATCTACTTAGATTTCCAAAAGGCCTTTGATGTGGTCCCCCACAAATGGCTCCTGCTTAAGCTCAAACCTGCAGGGACTTTAGGAAATGTAGCAGCTTAGATTGAAACCTGGTTAGCAGACAAGAAGCAGCGGGTAGTAATTAAAGGCACAATGTTACTGTGGG